GGGGAGGACCGGAGGTTGAGGGGGGGAGGGGGGGAGGGGAGGAGAGGGGGGTTGAAAAAGCACTATTCCCTGTATGACTGTACACTCAAGGATTCACTCCTCATGTTTGTTGATTGCTTCCTTCTTTTTTCTTTTTTCTTTTTTCTTTTTTCTTTTTTCTTTTTTTTTTTTCAACGTCAAATTTAACGAAAAATGCCTGTTCTGCTCGCAGCTGGATTCAAACTTGGGTCCAACAGATGATGGGTGTATCAGCTGAGCCAGGCCTGTTGGTCAATTTTTATTTTTCAAGAAAATAAAAGGGCGACGTTGCTGTTTTGCACGGATTGTAATCCTCCTTTCTTAATGATAACCCTTTCTTCGTTCCCTCTAATCCCCCTTCCAATCCCCCTTCCTTCCTCCCCCAACGAAGAAAAGCCAAGTTTTCCCTATAACAAATGCATTCATCCATTAAATCATTTGCTTGCAATCAGACTCGACTTCTTCACTCTTGTCATGCAGGCAAACAGCGAAACAGCAAACTGGCGACATGCGCCCACACAGTACTCAAAGATATCGTAACCAGATACGAGTTCTCCTCCAACTGGCTATGGCGACTGTGCGCCCATACAACGCACTGTTCATACTCGAGATCACCCTGGATGTCCCACACGCACACTCAGTGTTCATACCCAACACACACACACAGTACACACACTCTGCACTCTACACTGAGCTATGGCAGCTATGGCTGCCACTACCTATCGCTATGACTACAGTGCTTCACTCTTGCCCCCTTCGTCTTCGGGCCTCCAGCAGACCTCCTTTCACTAGACGCTGTGGCAGCGCTACCGCATGGCTTCCGCCTGAATGAATGAATGGCTGGACGCAGCCTCTTGATTTATACTTCTGCGCTGCGTTGGTCTGCCCTCTACCCCTTGGCCCATGATGTGCACAGTCCCAGACGGTACTTGCTTGACTGGACTGGACTGGGCTACCTGGGACTGCTGACTGGGCTAGGTGGACTACCACCACT